ATTCATAGCAAGATATACATCAAGTGCTCTCAAATCCATAAAAGTATTCAATCCGATAATAACGAAATCTCAAAGGGAAAACTCAATTCATCACAACAAGATAGAGAGGGAGAAGCACCATATGATCCAACTATATTAACAAAGCTTGCGATACATCAAGATCGTGCCAAATCAAGAACACGAGAGAGAGAGGGAGAGAGAGAGAGAGAGAGAGAGAGAGAGAGAGAGAGAGAGATCATACACATAGCTACTAGTAAAAACCCTCAGCCCCGAGGGTGGACTACTCCCTCCTCATCATGGTGGCTGCTGGGATGATGAAGATGGCCCCCGGTGATGATTTTCCCCTCTAGCAGGGTGCCAGGAGAGGGTCTAGATTGGTTTTCGTGGATACAAAGGCTTGTGGCGGCGGAACTTCTTATCTAGGGTTATTTCTGGGGGTTTCTGTATTTATAAGATTCTTTGGCGTCGGTTTCACACTGAGATGGGCCATGAGGTGCCCACTACCCACCAACCCACCTCTTTGGCACCTGGCGTGCCCTAGTGGGAGTGGCCACCTTGTGGCTCTTCTGGTCCTCCCACGAAGCTTCGGGGGTCTCTTTTGTTCCGAATAAATCATCAAAAAGTTTTGCTGCATTTGGACTTCATTTGATATGCATTTTCTGGAAAACCAAAAACAAGCAAAAAACAACAACTGGCACTAGGCACTAGGTCAATATGTTAGTTGATAAAAATCATATAAAAGCCAAAATAAAAGTGCACCAAAATCATACAAAACTATAATAAACATGGCATGTATACTTCATAAATTGTAGATCGTTGGAGACGTATTAGGGTCATACTACGACCCATGTCCTAGTCTATCTCCTACTTATCTTGCCTTCCAAGTAAGGGAATTTCCTTATAACCTCTTCCTTGAGTCAGTCTCCCAGAAACTGGGCCATGAGTCGGCCTGCACTATGATTCTCCTCCTGGGCCTTGAGCTTCACAATCTTTACAGCCCACATATTGAGCTTGTCCTTTCAGTCGCCACTGGATAACCAGGTCACCATCTGACCGAGTCATACCATGGGGTTATATCCCCAACAGTGTGGCTGGTTGGGTTTGCATTTGCTTTGTGGGTCTCGTGGGCGGTCGGTATCTGTCGGGTAGTACTATGGGTAACGTGTGTCTTGGTTCTCCGCGTTGGGCCTCTGCTACTCCCACCTATTAGAAATATGCCCTAGAATCAATAATATTGTATTATTATATGTCCATATTCATAATTAAGTGTTTATATTTCATGGTATAACTTCTATGATCCTGGAATATGTGATTCAGTGGAAAACTCATATGCAGGTGTGAAATGATTAACGGATAAAATGAAGGTTCCTAGTCTCGCCTCTAAGACTAGTTCAAGTGTTGTTTTTTATCATGTTTTCTGGATCTTATGATATCATTAAGGGTAAAGATAATCCTAAAACAACATTGAGATTATGATGTTGGAAGAACGATGATATTGAATCGACCCAAACTTGTTTGTTATGAATTGAGATAACATCGTGTGCACTCAATTATAATAACACGAAGTGTTAACGTGTGATTTTTATCCTTGGACCATGAAAGTATCATGGTCACTTATTACAATACTGTGGACTTTGGGGTTGCTCAAAGTCACCTGTAACACGGTGATCATAACATCAACTTACAGGCTCATCGAAAAGTTTGACAAGTGGTTGTATAGCTCAAGAGTGGGATTTGCTCCCCCAACGATGGACACACACTACTATGGCCCTCTCAGTGCGATGACACCCATCGTCATCTGGCCGGGCACATCTGACTATATCATGGGATGCCGGAACACAATAACAGAAAGAAGAACAAAACTGGTAATATGTCGGTATAGTGAGCATAGTGTTTACTCAGGAGGACATGATGCATCCCGGGTATTATGAAGTATCACGAAGCACAGGGAACATGACATGATAACCATAGGTTCGCTGTAATATCATTCATGTGCTCATAAGGATCGATATGGACCTCCACGGTCCCGATGTCGGTCATTGAACGGACGGTTTCGTTCATGTCTATGAGTTACCGAACCTACGGGGTCACAAGCTTAAGGCAATCATGATCTGCTGAGTGTTAGTAGGACGGGAGTGATGAGAATATATTTGTGGAACTGTTTTATTAATATTCGAAATAGTTCCAAGAGGATCCGGAAGCATTTCGGGGTCACCGGAAGGGTTTCGGCGAATATAGGGTAATACCGGGTATTACTGATAAATATATATAAGTGGAAAATGTTTTCAGGGATGTTATATGTGGGGTAACTACACATGTTATATGTGAGATATGTGGGGTAACTACCACCGGGTGGTAGGTATATATATATATATATATATATATATATATATATATACTAGGAAAATTGCCCGTGCGTTGCAACGGGAGAAAAAAAAACCACACACCCATGCTCTGTGCTTCACAATTGACTAAAAATATCATGCACGTGATGCTTATTTTGAGTTACCGACACCATACAATAAAAATGTGGTATGCTTCGTCCGACGACGAGGCATGCATACTTTTGTCGTGTGTGCTAACCGTGAAGTACTTGTCATGTAGATGTTCTAACTTTCTGTTCTATTGTGTACATCTTTTTTGCAACTGGGTTGAATCTTTAGTTCTTTTGTTTTGTTGATTGGCTTCACGTTGCTCTTTTAGTTTTTCCGGTTTTTCTTCATGGCCATCCATGCCTAACGCTCTCTATCTCGTTTACTTCTTTGTTCCCTAGCATTCATGACTGGAGATTGCAACCCAAATTGCTTGCCTTCATGAGAGTTTTCTATGATTTACTCCCTCCATTCCAAAATATAAGTATTTGTAGAGATTCCACTATAGATAACATACAGAGCAAAATGAGTGAATGTATACTCTAAAAGGCATCTATATACATGTGAATGTAGTCTCTATAGTGGAATTTTTAAAAAGACTTATATTTAGGAACGGAGGGAGTAGAAATCTATTGTCGATTAAACAAAGAAATAGATTAGATTCTGCATCATAAATAGAGCATACATAGCTACTCATAAATTAATCTCATGAGCCTGCAGATAAGCATCAAATATGTGTTGTTTGTACAGTAATGTTTTACTTCTTCCCGGCAACCCCTTTTTAAATTGTGCAACTATTTTGGCTGCCAGTTTAAGTTTATATTAGCCAACTATGATATTCTATCTAAATCCTTTTAGGTGATTATCACTACGTAAAGTTATTGTTATCCTATATAGAATTATTAATGTCTTCAAATCATGATAGTAGGGTATAACAACTTCTGTAATTACCTTTGTTTAATAAAGTAAGCTAGCTCACCAAAGTAGGTTACTTTTGTTTACTATATTTTTTTGTTTAAATAATAATATTTTTGTACTATGGTACCCCTAAATATGGTTTCCGATAAGCATGGATGAGTTAATTAATGATGACGTCTGTATTGCTAGCGTCCTACAATTTAGGAACCAAAAAAATGTTAGGATGTTGTAGATCAAATCATCGTTGCCTAGTGAAAAAAGCATACCACATCGGCAGATTAATTATTGTACTACCATCAAACAATATTCTTTTATGCATGTAACACTTTCAAAGTAATTTTACCTCGATACAATTGTTGGTTTTTCTCCATACCATTAATGTTTGGGCCCGAAGTATGTATAAGGTGGTTGCCAAGTCCCTCCATACCAACATGTCCATCTTTAAGGATGTCAGGCATGGATTCCTTTTTCTGATCCCGAACGATAGCTTCATTGAGATCAACTAAAGCCTATATTGGCATGACACGTCAATGTCGTTTTGACATCAATGGCTTATTATGCACTTGTATGAACCAGGATCAACTGGAGAAAATTTATTTTATATTTACTTTACTGAATGTGTAAGCACATATGTTTTCGTCGTGTGTGCCTTAACCTCTGTATATATGTTAGTCCAATATATTGTCTGATCCTTATTCATGTATGTATGGTGTTTGTTTATTTTCAGTTTTTGCGCCCTAGCAGCTAGTCAGAGTGAGGGACATACACATAGTCTAATTCATTTTTTTTGATATGAGTCAAATTCAACCTTAAAACAGAAAGGCAATGTGTGCGTGGTTCAGAGAACAAAGACGCACACACTAACACGCCCAAGTGATGGACTCAGAAGATTTTTATCGGTGCATGAAGGATTCAAAGTCTTAATCTCGTAAAAAAAGTCCAAACTATTAAAAACAGAAACTGTGAACCTGCATGCACGCTAGTATAAAAAAAACTGTCTAAAAAAAGATAGCCACACACGTCGGCTGGTCTAGAAGAAACCAGCAGCCGCATCGCTAGCGCTCCTCCACAAAATCTTATCTCCTCAGTTTTTCTTCGCTGCGCCAGTTATTCACATGCCGACCTCCCCTGGGACACGCCGCCGCTGCCGCTTGCACCCACCGCCGCCGCGCACGCCACCGAATCTCGCCGCTCCCCCGGATCCCTTCACCACCCCGGCCATGGGCGCTGGCTCCCCCGCCTAGAATCCCCGCTCCCCCGGCCATGGTGCGCGCTACACACCCGCGCAACCACCGGGAATCCCACGATGGGCTCCTCTGCAGAGGAGCTAGCTCCGCGCCGTGCGCTCCAGCACCGACGCTCGTGCCGTTCAATGGCGACGGCGGCCATGGCCATGCTCACTCATGCTCCAACGCCGGCCGTCCTCGCGCAAGTCCCTTTTCCTCTGTATCTTCAGATCCCATCCCACCACCCGAGCGCCTCCTCCTCGCGCCCTCGTCGACGATCTGCAGACTGCAGTAGCAGCAGCAGGACCCCCGCCGGTGAGCTACCTCCTCCCTCCTTCCTCCTCCCTCATCCCCTTCTACCACCGGTGTACTGCCTCTCCTCACACTCTCTCTTACCTCTCGAACAGGAAGCAGCAGCTCCACCGCACAACAACGGCGCTGCGGGTGTCACTCTCGAGCGCCAGTTCACGGTCCCAGCGCCCATCTACCTGTGCAGCGCGGCCGCTAACTTGGGCAGCTCGATGAGGAACGCCGGCGGCGCCCGGGTGCCCTCGTGGATGGCCAGGCTCGGCCGGCAGCGGCGGTGCCTGAAGAGCGTCACCGCCGGTGCGTGGTCCGCGAGGAGGGCCCTGCTGCCGCTGTGCTGCCCGAGCAGCGCGCCCATCATGAGCGCCAAGACGGCTCGCCCCATTCCTGGGCTCGGGCGGCGCGGACGCCCGCCGCGACGCATCACCCCTTCCTTGGCTCCTGCGGCGTGGACGCCGGCGGCAAGCGGCGACGCGTGCCCGGCGGTGGAGGGCGCAAATGGATAAGCGGCGGTGGTTCCTGGTGGTGAATCAGTTTAATTAAGTATCGCGGGGTAGATTTCTAACTAATTGAGGGTTTTGTTGCAAAAACGAAGCGCCGTCCATCATCGCCCCCGTTTGGCGCATCGATGGGAAATGGGTGCGGGCGCGGCTGCGGTGCGCGGCGCATCGGCGGCGGGCGGCGGGCGGTGCGCAGTGAGGCTGGGCGGGGCGGGGCGGGGCAGGAGGTGGCGGCGGGATGGAGGTCGAGATGGGATCGGGGAGCAAGGGTCGTGCGGGCTGGGCTATTTTTTTTCTCTTTTCTCCTCCATGTACCGGTTCGGGGCTGACTTATGTTGAGGACTGCGGGTTGAATTCTCCAAAACGGAGGGACTTTTCTGCAAAAAAGCATGACGTACGACCAGAAGCGATAGCTGGTTTATTAGTAGGTAAAGATAAAGATAAAGATATATATATATATATATATATAACGGTCTAAAAATATTTAGAACAATTTTATATTTAATTTAATATCAACGAGCCTAAAAAGGCCAAGAGGTGGAAGGCAACTTGGGCCACAAAGGCCCAAGTGGGAAGGTGCATCCCTGCCCTAAGGAGGCCGAATAGGGGAGGTCCTATGTGATCTGCGTCAAATTGTTGCGCTTTTGCACAGACACGAATCCTTGGCGGGCTTTGTGGGCCGCGCGCGGGCGTTACCATTGAACGCGCCGTGAAAAATCAACAAAAAATAACAACATGGTGGGAATCGAACCCACGACCAGCGCCAGAGAAGACCGCGGAGCTAACCAGTGCGACAAGATATTGGTAGTGGAAGATTTTCAATATAATATTTAAAAGACGTGAATGGCAACGACAAAGTTGAAAGAAATATTCCCGAAAACGTGTGTGGGCTTGGAACACAAGATCCTCAAGTGGCCGAACCACGTGGCTACATGTTGTGTTCATAGATATGTTTTGTTTAAAATCCCAGCTTTTTACTTTTGGACATTGTGGATGATGTAACTTTGATATGAGTTTAATAAAGTGCGCCAAGTAGTTTTCAAAAAAAAAAAAACTATGGCGGCAAAAAAAAGTATTAATTTTTTCTAAAATTTTGAACGTGGTTTTCTTTTTCATAAAAGTAATTATATTTAGAAAAACTAATATTTTCAAATTTTGACAAAAATATTTTTAAAACACTAACCTTTTTGTGAAACCTAACCGTTTTCTTAAACGCGAACAATTTTTAAAAAAATTGAATATTTTTTGTCATTGTGATTTAAAAAAAATTCTAAAATTCCTAAACAGTTTTTCAAACACGGACATTTTTCTAAAATTGTGAACAAATTTTGGAAGTGCGAACATATTTTGACATTCCTCTACATTTTCTGAAACATGAACATCTTATGAATGAAATTCTGAATAGATTTTCAGAAACAGAACATTCTCCGAAATTTCTGAACATTTTCGGAAGACATGATCATAAAAAAATTTGAAAATGTGTTTTTTTAAATTACTAAACATTTTGCAATAGACAGACATTTTTTGAAATTGTGAAAAAAATTGAAAACAAGAACAATTTATGGAATTTGTAAAAAGACTTTTTGAAACACTGATATTTTTTAAAATTCTAAACAAAATTTGAAAACAAAAACATTTTTTTTCTGAAATTATTGAACATTTTTTAAAATTGTGAACAAAATTTGAAAACAAGAACATTTTATTAATTTCTAAAAAGACTTTTTGAAACACAAACTTTTTTCAAATTCTGAACATTTTTTGAAATTACTAAACATTTTTTAAAACACGAACATTTTTTTAATTTGTGAAGAAAATTTGAAAATAAGAACCTTTTATGAAATTTCTAAATAGACTTTTTGAGACACGAACATTTTTTAAAATTATAAACAAAATATGAAAATGGGAACATTTTTTGAAATTTCTTATTTTTTAAAAAATGGGAGCAATGTTTGAAAACGAAAACATGTTATAAAATTCTGAATAAATATTTGATTTTTTAATGAAACATGAAAAGGGAAAAATAAAAGGGCAAAGAAAAGGAAACAAAAAACAAAGACGAAAAATTAAAACGAAAAAACATAAAAAGAGAAGAAACAAAAAGGGAAAATAGAAAAACCAGTCGATCCAGATCCAGAAAAAAACCCAGCTGGAAACCACCTAGAAGATTCCCAAAACCAGAATCGCTCAATTGTTTGAAGGGGCCCGCCCATCTGAACACTCCTCGATGTGCCCCTATGCGTCACCTCGACTACTTGCCGCAACGAGCGGCAAATAGGAATTTCCACCGAATAGGAGTGGGGGAGGAGTCCAACTCCTCGCGCCCCTTGGTCGGCGCCCCAAGGAGGCTTTCCCTCCTCAGTGGAATCCCTCCCTCTCCCCTCTAACCTATATATACTTGAGGATATGTGCTCTTTTGACATACAAGTTTTGGAGTCTCCTCTAGTTCTTCTAGTTCTAGTTCTAGTTGGTCCACGAAGATGCAACCTTGTCTATTCCATCATGACTTACGTCCACAAAGGACTAGCCTCACTCGAGTTATATCTTCACGAGGTAGGCAATCTCCTTTCCCTTACAAACTCCTTGGTTCAACTCCACAATCTCTTGGAGGCTCCCAAGTAACAGCTAACCAATCTAGGAGACACCAATCTCCAAAAGGTAATAGATGGTGTTGTTGATAATGAACTCCTTGCTCTTGTGCTTCAAATGATAGTCTCCCGAACACTCAATCACTCTCTCACAGATTTGGCTTTGGTAGAAGATGGGATTGAATTGAAAGCAACTTGGGAAAGACTAGAAATCAAGGTTCAAATGTAGGATTGGAATCTCTTGATCTCAACACATGAGTAGGTGGTTCTCTCTATGAAAATGAGTAGTGGAAGTAGTGTTTCATTCTGATGCCTCTTTTAGAGAGTAAGTGGGGGTGGTGTAGCCATCACCCAAACATCAAACCATTACAAGTCTTTGACCCAACTCGGTGACACCGTACCATAATCTCGGTGAGACCGACTAGTGTAAAAGATTTGAATGTTGGAGGTTTTGGTGAGATCGATGAGAACATCTCGGTGCGACCAGTGCAATGGCTAGGGCAAGACCTCATTTCAGTAGTACTGACAGTTTCATCTCGGTAATTCTGAAATGAAGCAACTTCACACAAAAAAACTTGGTCACGCTATCTCGGTGAGACCGAGATCCATATTGGCAGAACCGAAATGCTAGGGTTTGGCTTAGGCAATGTATGTGATCAACTTGGTGAGTCCGAGATATAGATTTTTGGTGGGACAGAGATGACACTTTAGGGTTTTGGACACATGTGATGTGGAGAAGTGTTTGAGTATTTTTGGAGCAATATCACTAAGCACTTTAGCAATTGAGTCGTCTTCGAAACTTCACCCCCTTTTAATAGTATTAGATTTCCTATGGACTCAATGTGTTCTTGGATCACTTAACCAAAAATGTAGAGTCTTGGAGCTTTGCCAGTTCTTGTCCTTAGCATTTTAAAGGGGTCCACATCCTCATGTCCTTTCCATGCCATGGTTGAACTTATCTAAAATATACTAGATAGAAGTGTAAGTCTCAAATATGTATGTTGACATTAATTACCAAAACCAGCAAGGGAGCAAATGTGCTTTTACTCTACATAGGATATAGAAACTTCAGACGAACATGAAATTGAACTATATAGGTTGGAAAAATTCGTACACACCTTCAGGGTGTGCAGACAAATTATTGTTGAAGCAAACATTGAACCTATAATACACAGAGAAGCGTTGATGGGCCCTGTCTCCGAAATTGGCTATACGCCAAAATAATCTGAGATAGTATCCATTCACATAATTCAAGTTTATAACTTGATAGACCCTATGAAATATTTACATCTAAAGTGTAGTGATGGATCTATAGATTGACAAAGATAAATGTTTTATAATGCTTGACTTGTTGCAAATTGTGTATGACAAGATCAAGGAGTTGATTATGACAAGATTGTCTCATCATAATAATACTTAAAGTCGGGAATTAAACAAGATGTTACGAAATATTTCAGTTATGAGATATAACAGATGGATGTCAAAATGAATCCCAATGACATGGAAATAGAACCAAGGTTGTATATTTGATACAGTCCAAGGTAATTTTCTCGATCCATAGGATGCTAGTAAGTGGGCAAACTTCAAGAGATCCAGTAATGATCTGAAGCAAGCGTAGTGGAGTTGGAATATTTGTTTTGATGAATTGATCAAATTATATGATTTCATTGATAGAAACAAAGATGCTTGTATTTACAAGAAAGTAAGTGGGAGCATGATAATATTTCAATACACTATGTGTGCATGACACATTGTTGATTTGAATTTTTTGACACGGATTAAGACTTTATTGAAACTAGGTTTTCAGTACTTAGGAAATATAGTCCTTGTATTAAGCATTATAATCTATGGAGATAGTAGTGTCTAATAAGGGCTTAGCTAAAATACATGTTGATAAAGTACTAAAGCAGTTTAGTAAGAAAAATGCCAAGAAGAGTTTCTTGACAAAGTCGCATGGAAGGAGTTCTTAGGAAGAATCAATATCTTGAAATACTGGTGAGTGAAATACATGATTTTAATCACACTTGTGTTAATTCCATGGTATGTAAATAACCAGATATGTCTAGTACTCCAAGTAAGTTGTGAGTAAAGTTACCAGAATGACTAAATTGTTGATCATAGGACAACAGTGAAAATGTCGTTAGGTACTAACGACATGTTTCTCGCATGTGGAAAGGATGAAGAGATTGTTGTAAGGAGTTACATCAATATAGGCTCGTCGTAAGTAGTAAATCTATAAATTCTTCATCGGTGCTTCAAACGATTATCAGTTTCAGTTGAATGGTTAATGATGGCACAGTAAATTGGAATTGGTCCAAGAAGGTTAATGTGGTGAATTA